ACAAAATAACGCTGAAAAACGATAAAAACCCTGAAAACCATACATTTCACACCTGAGCCTCAACTCTCGCGGCCCAGTACCAAACAACTCACGGAGCGGTACCGGTCCGAGACCCGGGGGGTGGGGACCGCTGAAGTAGCAGACCAGATTAGGTAGTTAATCAGTTTCAGAGTCAGTGTCCAATATAACTTTATTCCTTTATGGCTTTGATTAGCATGGAACTCACTAGAACATCCTTTTGCCACTGCTCAGTAACAAAAATACTTATGAACCCCTGAAATGAAACCCAGGAAGTGGTTACAGGAAGAGGGTGATAGATTGTCTGAAACAGTTAGAACAAGACAACACTAACTGGACATCATACCCAGGGGGGAATCTACACCAAGTCTGTATGGTTTACAGAAGATTGATAAACAGTGCGCACCTTTAAGACCAATTGTCCGTATAATCAACTATGTCACCTATGACATCTTAAAATCTTTTGTCTTTGATTCTCAACCCCTTGGTAGGCAGCTCTGGACACCACATCCAGAACATCTTGGATTTTGTTGAGAAGGTGAGAGATGTCATTACAGGGGCAGATGAAACAATGGCCTTATGTGATGTTACATGTGTCTTTATTTGTATTCCAGTCACGGAAGCGTTGGAGGTAGTTTGTAAGAGATTATAGGATGACCTCAATCTCTGCAACAGGACTACTCTCAGCATCAACCAAGTGTGTTTCCCTTTGGAACTTTCTTCATTACACATAGTTTACATACAAGGGTCAGTACTACACACACGCCATGGGCTCCCCAATTTCTCCCATTGTGGCCGACTTGTACATGGAAGAAATTGAAAAGAGGGCTCTCATCCTACCCTGGAACATCACCAAGTCATTGTTTCAGGTATGCGAATGTCAACTCTGTGGGAAGCCAGACAGAAGACTGAAAGTGATGCTGTGTGTCAAAGGTGTAGGAATTATTGACAAAGTATTTACAAAACACCATTATATAAACAATTCTCCTCTTTGTATTTCCTGAACTTTATGACAATGTTAAAATGAGGGTTTTTTTGCTTTTTTTATTAAGTGCTTGATGTTCCACAGCCACGCTTCATTTGTATTACATTGAAACTATCTCCACCTCTTAAAGATCGTGAAGCAAGAGCTTTCTACAGAGAAGAAGCAACACGCCATCTCAGCCAGTCTCTAAAACTTTCTTAGTGAATGCTATTGATGTGTTTTGTCTTTTAATACAATTAAATACAAAATATTTATAAAATATTTGGAATATACTGTATATATTTATTGATCCTGAGATTACTGTTAAAATCCTGTTTATAAAAGTATGCAGTCCAGAGTATGTTACTAAAATGATTGTTAAGACATCTGCCCAATTTGTGACATCGTTTTGAATTCATAACAAAAACTAACTTAAAAATATAGAGAAGTCATTTCCACTTTAGAAAATGATTGGAGAAGTCAGAACATGCTTGTTTAATTCATTTGTGTTTGCTCAGTCAGAAAAGCAGTTTTCAGCACAGTTCACGTTCATGAAAACATCAGAATATCACTCCTTTTATCTTGGGGTAACTGTGAGAGCATTGTATTCTCCTCTTTGAAACAAATTTTGATTTTTTTGTTGAAACTGACCCTTTTTTTTTTTTTCCAACAAAAACTGAATATCAAGTAGGAAAACCTTACATTTATCAATCTAACAGTTGTCTATCATTTATATGGCCACTATCAGAACCACTGTCCACAATAAAAATACAAAGATCCATGAGTACATCAGATGTCATCAAACTGATGTACTCATGTACTTAGTGAATCCCTCGGGGATTCAGAAACCTGAGAAAAAAAGAGGAGCAAGAAAGGGAAGCATCGTGGAAGTATGTCTGCATAGGTTCTCATTTATCTAGGTCATAGTAGTTTAAGAAGCGTGGAAAGAAAGTGACTTGGACTTGAAGTTTTGATGAAGACACTGCACCTCTCATCCCAGAGGCTTGTTTAGTTCTAAAACCAAGTGTTTTAAGATGCTTAAGCAAAGATAGGTTGTAAAGATAGATGTAGCAATAGCAAAGCGACAACAATATCAATAAGTAGGAACATAAGGAACTCGAGGGGTCAAGAGTCGAAAGAGGAGCTAGAAAAGATGTGGAAGATGACAGCAACAGTGGTCTCTGAGGTAACTGGAACACTCAGGGCAGTAACATCCCCCCCCCAAACTTTGTTTGGCTCCAGTAGATTCTAGGAATGTCATCTGAGATCTCTGCAGTCTTATCTGAGGTCTAAAAGAGCATAGTCCTAGGAACATAGTTCTAAATACTCCTGCATATAGTAGTTCATCCAGTGGTTCTATCCAATCACCCAAAATCTCAAAATATGATGGTGACAGAAGAAAAGTCAGTTTATCATCAGTTTTTACTTTTTTCCCCCCTTTCTTTTTTGGAAACATGAATCTTTCAAAACAAAAACTGGCAGTCTGATAGGCCCGTATTTGATCAATAGGAACACATAAAGGGAAGAAACCTCTCGCCTAAAAATCAAGTTTCAAGATTAATGTAACAGCAGCTAAAGGGCAATGCAGTCTGTATTGTTGGTAGTGATGTCCAGTACTGGGTGTGGAAGTCTTTTAGGTTTATCTTTCTGCTCTTTGTTCCTTTACATGCCACTGAGACTCTTTATTTTAGCTAGAGCTTCTATACCTACTATACTCTTTCTGTGTTTGCTTAATACATAACAGCATGAATAGGCTTGCCACAAACTTTAAACAAATAAAACAAATAAAATGCACAATGTATTTCCAACTACTGCACCTG